ATGCTGGAATAAATAGACAAACTACTCAAGAGTGTTTTGCCAGCATCATCTTAGATAATATTTGGGGTATTAAAAGCCTAGATTTAAAGAAAAATAAAAAGTTTTCTTCAACAAGTCAGATAGAATTTGTTCTGAAAACTTAACTCACAACAATAATTCAATGCTTTCAGAAACATTTGTGAGACATAGCTAAATCTTACTAACCTATATAAATGTATATATTTTCCTATAACCAAAATTATAGAGCTGGTCATAATTAACAAAACATTCATGTTAAAGAAAAAAAACATATAGAGACAATGTTTTCTTTCAATAGAACTTATATTTTATACTATCTGAAGATTTGACCTGAAATGGATCATTAATCATAGAATTGCAGAATGGTTTGAGTTGGAAGGGACCTTAGAGATCATTTAGATTCTAATCCCCACCATAGGCAGGGATGTCACCCACCAGATCAGATTTCTCCAGGCCCTATCCAGCCTGGTCTTGAACACTTCCAGGGATGGGGCATTAACAACTTCACTGGGCAACCTGTTCCTCTGCCTCACTACCGTCACTGTAAATATTATCTTCCTGATATCTAATCTAAACCTCTCTCAGTTTAAAACTGTTCCCTCTTGTCCTACCACTATCTACCCATATAAAAATCCCTGTCTTTTTTTCACAAGCCCTCTTAAAGTGCTGGATGTCTGCTATAAATTGTTCCCAAAGCTTTCTCTTCTGCAGGCTAAACAACCCCCGCTCTCTCAGTTGGTTTTCATAGGAGAGATGCTCCAATCCCCTGATTATCTTCATGACCTTCCTCTGGACCCCCTCTAAGAGATCCATGTCTGTCTTGTTCTGAGGACCCCAGACCTGAATGTAGCACTCCAGGTGGGGGTCTCGTGGGGGCAGAGGGGAAGAATCATATCCCTCAACCTGTTGGCCACTTCTTTTTTGATTCAGTCCAGGGTATGGTCGGCTTTCTGGACTATAAGCCACACTCTTGGCTCATGTCCAGCTTTTTCATCCATAAAAACCCTCAAGTCTTTCTCTGCAGAATTCCTCACAATGAGTTCCTCTCCCAGTCTCTACTCATATCTAGGATTGTCCCAGACAGGTGCACTTGCACTTGGACTTGTTAAATCTCATTAGGTTCTCATGGGCTCACTTCTCAAGCCTGTACATATTCTGTACAAGCCTGAATAGCATCCCATCCTGTTATGTTAACTGCAAAGCTCAGATTGGTACTATCTACAAACTTGCTGAGGATGCACTTGCTCTCACTCTCCACGTCATTGATGAAGATATAGAAGAGCACTGAACCCAAGATAGGGTCCTGAGGGATACAACTTGTCACCAGCCTCCACCTGGACATAGAGCCATTGGCCACAGATCTCTGGCTGCATCCAGCTAATTCCTTATCCATTGAATAGTCCACCCTTCAAATCTATGTCTCTCCAATCTAGAGATAAGGATGACTATTGGGATTGTATTAAAGACCTTACAGAAATCTAGATAGATGACATCAGTCAATCTTCTGTTGTTGATCATTGCAATCGTTCCATCATAGAAGGGCACCAGACTGGTCAGATATGATTTGCCCTTAGTAAAGCCATGCTGGCTGTCATGGACCACCTCCTTATCTTGCACGTGCCTTAATGCTGTTTCCATGGTGGTCTGCTCCATGATTTTCCCAGGTGCAGTGGTGAGGCTAACTGGTTTGTTTGCTGGGGCTTCCTTTCTTTCCTTTTTAAAAATCAGATTGTTGTTTCCCTTTTTCCAGTCAACAAGGACTTCCCCTGACTAACATGACTTTTCAAATACAATAGAGAGTATCTGGGCAACAACATTAGCCAGCTCCCTCAACACCATGGGATGCATGTCATCAGGCTCCATAGACTTGGGCAATTCAGTTTCATCAAGGGATTCTGAATCTGCCCTCCACTTACAATGGAAGCTACTTTGCTGTCACAAGTCCCCCCTGGAGGTTCCAAAAGGAGAATGTGGGCATTCCCCATATAAATATGATAAGATAAAGATAAAATGTGTCACACATTTTTTCTCAACTTTTTTTTCACAGTATAACTCAGTGGGGTAATTTAATTTTGATACCTAACTTATCTAGAGGTCGAAGAAACACTGAAACATTCATGAAACATAAAAAAAATCTCCACAGTCCCTAATGCTCATGTTATGTTACCTGTACATTTTGTTTAATTTAGATCCCTTCGTAGCTGACAAACAATATTGAGAACACTTAGGTTTGCCAGGATGAATATGTGTGAGCTGCTAAGGGCCATGAATTACCAACAACATTTTCAATAATGAAACACAGCTTTTTAAACACATTCATATATCTTAAAAGCCAGTTGTACGTATGAGAGTTTTCAGGAGATTTTTTAAAAGCAAAACTGTAAAGTATCTTGATGTATGCTTTGCCTTGATATTGAAATGCATTATAATTATCCTAGTTGAAGTTTTATGTGGCAAAATATCTATTCCAAAAACCATATCTCCAAAGAGGCATTTTAGCCAACACAGCCATTTCTCACAGCATAAAATGTATATGTGTAAATATTTACATTATATGTACATCATTATTACATTTCTTTGTTCATATTGATGCATATGTATATGTGTATTGATGTGTGTGTCTGAAAAAATATGTATGATGTAGATGATATATAGCTCTATCCACATGTGCACTGGTTCTAAAAAACCTGTAGTCTCATATGAAGGCCCCTGCATTTTCATACTAGAATGTTAGATATCCGTTTTGATAAGGACTCATATTCAACTCAAGTTATACTTACGCAATGCAGCCTGAAACCTCATAAGAAGCACAAATTTCGTATTCCCTTCAGTCCTATATTCTCGGATGTGACATGACCTTATGCAGTTCCCAGAAGGGCACTGCGATGCTCCATTGTACGATTTAACGATCCTCTGGTGGCTGGAACCCAACAGTAACAAATCAAGTTGGTAAGTGGGGTGGCTCCACCCAAAACCTCTTCATGGAACAGGTAGAGGAAAGTCTGTTCCTTAAGTGGAAGTTTAGATTGTGCTTGCCCTTCACACAGAATCAAGGGTTGGTGTATTATTCTCATTTTCTGCACTGATACTAACTAAACTGTGAACAGAGGTAGATTTTTAAGCATCTATTTCTATGATTACTGTGACTGGGATTTAATGCTTTTCAGAGAGGTGCTAAATCTTCACTACACCAGACCTCTCATATTTGCTCCCAAAAATCACATTTTCCCCTTTGTAAGCAGTAAGTTTTAAGCACAGACAGGTCCTATTTGTAGATCTCAAATGCTAAAGTGAGATCTTCAGCAATCTGTGTGCATGCTGGACGCTACCCTTTCCCCTTTCGAGGTTAATTTCTGCCCTGGGAATACTAACTTTAAGTGAAAAGCTTTCCTTTTTTTCCTGCAATTGTTCCTGGCCTTCTGACTTCATCAGCTGCCAAGGATTCAGATGTTTAGAAAAGATAGTATCTAGAACTTTTAAGGCATGCTTACCCCAGTCTAGTCCCTACTGCAAGGACTGATATAACACATTTTTCTCTGCTGTGCTTCTGACTGAGTATGTGTACTCATAATATTTAATAGGGAGTGTGGAACAAATAATAACTACAGGTTTATTACCTGTAACACAAGTCTTTCTGTAATCTTCGAATCAGAGATGCACTGGAATCATTACCATCATCATAACTGCTGTTTAGAACCAAAAGGTGCCCCTGGAAAAGCATATCGCTGGTGCAGATGAACTTTGATGGTGTTTCTGACATTGACTTTTTCATCAAAATGCTCCATTTTTATCCCTGTACAAAGAAACGGGAATGTAACTGAGCTTAATGACTAGTAACTTAACAATTTAGTTACTTCTCCTGACCTAAGAGAAGTGTTTTGTGATTGGTTTTGATAACATTTTGAGGTGTCATTATAATAATCACTTATGACCACTATTAAACAATTGACAGGCTTTTCATGAAAAGTCTATGTTATTAGGAGTTCTCAGCTTATCTCTTGACAACTATAGCCTTAATGTAAGAGGAGGAAAACATATAATTTGTAAAATTTTCCTTTTTCTTTTAATGTTAAATGCATAAAGCAGTAGAGAAAAGGCAGAAACAACTGCTTGATCTGGTTTTAAGATGTGTTTTAGTCTTTTTCACAGGTCTTTTTTGGATGCAAACAAAAAAAGACATACATGAGTAATAAGAGCTGATTCTTACCCTGAGCTAATGACCAAAAAATGAGGGTAGGGGTAAACCCAATTGCTGGAACGTGCTGCTTCATGAAGGATACTTAATCAAATCAGTATTTACATAAAAGTAAACATATGCCTAATTTCCAACAACATGTTGTTTTGACCTATGAAACAGGATGAAATTAAAATTTCTTAACAAATCTGCTCAAGAAACAGTGTAGTGATAGCATTTGTATTTTAGAATCTCATAGCTTTGCATTTAATAACCATTTCTCTAAACTGGAGAAATTTATTAATTTGTTACCCCATTTAATGCAAGATCTAATTCAGAATTTGTAACAGTACAGGAAACAATTTTGACAGCGTTAGTCTGTGTCCTGGTTTCAGCTGGGATAGAGTTGATTTTTTCCTAGTAGCTGGTAGTCTTGTGTTCTGGATTTAGCATGAGAATAATGTTGATAACACACAGATATTTTAGTTGTTGTTGAGTTGCCATACTAAGCAAGAAGGATGGAGGGACACAAAAAGTTGAGAGGAGACACAGCCAGGACCAGCTGACCTAAACTGACCAAAGGGAGATTCCAGACTATACAGCACCATGCTCAGTATGTAAACTGGGAGGAAACCTGGCCAGGCAGGCACTGCTTGGCAACTGGCTGGGAGTAGTGAGTAACTGTTTTCATTTGCATTACTTGTTGTCATATTCTAATTATTTTATCATTATTATTGTTGTTATTATTATTGTCTTCTTTTTCCATCCCATTAAACTACCTTTATTTCCACATACAATCTTTCTCACGTTTAGTTTTCTGATTCTCTCTCCCATTCAACTGGAGGCAGGGGTAGTGGTTGAATGGCTTCCTGGGTCTTAATTGCTGGTTGGGGTTAAACCATGATGGTTTGTGACCTTACGAGGAATGTAGTGCCTGCAAATTGCATTTCAGAGGTTTGTCCACATTATAAGGGAAAGATATAAATTAAGACAGCAGAGGTGTCCTTGAGATATTTACCTCAATGCTATTAGTTTCTCAATACCTATTCTCAAAACTTCTAAGATGGTTCTTTTCATAAAATGTCTGATGTATTTAAATTAAAAAAAACAGTTATTTTTAAACGTTTGAACAGACAAGACAGGAAAAATGGATCTAAGGCTGACAAGAGTCCTAAGCTGAATCAGGAGAATGAATTTCATAGCTTTGATCATAAGAAAAGCCATTGGGACTTGTTTAAGTAAAAAAACCCTTGAATATCAAAACCAGAAAATTCATGTTCATTCTAGAATTGAAAAAGGAAATGGCGAAATAGACTCACTAAGAGGGAGATTATTTTGTTTTGGTGTGTGGAAGTAGAGGAAGAAAAAGATCCATTACATTTTGAATTTCGACAATTCTCATAAAATGGCCTGCCAGGAAATGAAAACACATCTTGATTCTGGAAATAACAAACATGATGTAATAACTATAAACCCATCCAGCTTCTACAAGCTACATGAGGGCAGAATGTGGGAAGGAAAACACATCCCTAAATGGAAAGCATGACATTAGCCCTTGAGTACAGAAGGAAGGAAATTAATCAAAATGACACATCAGTATTGAAGATATTAATTATTACCAGTTTTTCACAAGCAAATCCCACAGGTCGTCTGACAAAAGAAATAAATTCAAAATCAAAGCAGGTTATTATTTATGCATAGGTAATATAGAGGAAGTTTATCAAGGGCAGCCCATTCTCCTGGCAATGAACAAAGATCTCTCTTCTTTCCTGGCAAGAAGAAGAGTTATTTTGTCTGGAGAATACTTCTTTTCCGAGAACAGGATTTTCAAGGGATGTGGGTTTTCTCTAATGTCCTTCTGGGACCTCCCTTGGTCTAGCCATATTCCAGTTCTACATGTTGTATAAAATCAGAACAAGAGTGAAATATTAAAGATTCACTAACATTAGTTCTGCTACTGCATACTGACTATGTTAAAAAAAATAAAAGAAAGGAAAAAGAACTGCATTAGCTCAACCAGTACAGTATTCTAAGTCTTCAAGATGGGGCCAAATTGAAATACAAGAGCTTGAATCAAAAAAATAAATAATGATGTCTTGCATGAATAGAATCAATGAGATGCAGATATGTCATTTAAAACATTGCAATGAAGATGGAATTCGCATTGTTATCAGAGGAGGTATAGTGGATGACAAGGTGCCTAAAGTAGTTATTTTTTACACATTGTTTTTTAACACAAATGAAGTGAAAAATATATACTGGAAGACAATGAGACTTCTAATCCAGAATAAGAATCACAGTTTTATTCACATTCAGCAGATATGCTCTTATGGAACTTGTGATCAACAAACTCCAAATGAGAACAAGAAGGTAAAAGGAATTCAATGGTTAAAAGATTGCACCAAAAGGGACATAACTTGTAATTTGTAAGCTGACTGTGAAAGAAAAATACATATCATTCATGTTGCAAAAGAAAACTTACTATGTATCCAGGTTATGTATTGGTACATAAATTTGTAATGTATCTTTTAAAACTAAAAAGGAAATTGAAAGCAAAGTAACATATATCTAAGCAGGAAACTTTCTCAAACTATATGTACAATGAAGTACACCTTGTGGAAAAAGTATGATCATGTTAACTCTCTTTTCATCAAGCTTCAATACATACTAGTTTCAGACATGTTTTCTTTAAATAAATTTAGCAACACAAAACAACTGATGAACTCAGATGCTGTCATAACCAGGGAAAAGACTGTCCACTAAAACGCACTCTGTGAAGTTTTTAATAAGCAATGTCAAATGTTATGTGGATTCCAAACAGACTGGAGGTTTAGTTTAGCACAGGAACTGTGTGTGTACTGCTTTAAATATCCAGCCCAGGGAGTTTTCCCTGCTCATTAAGCCAAATCAGACTGGGCATTTCGAGTATGCATTGATGTTGTCTATTCTTCCATCATGGAAGAGTGTTTACATTTGCAAACCATAATTCTTGGTTATGGTGGTTAGATGTATGCCCCATATGTCTCTCTGCATATTCAACCAGACCCTTCAAGACCACAAACACCATGTTTAACTGCGCTAGCGGTTTTCATTAAAAGAAATTGACATGAACTCAACATTGAGGTAACTTCTGCTACATGTAATAGTAACATTCTACCTACTAGCCTCACTTTTTTCTTTTCCATTATCAAGACTATATATTTTGTCTGGGTTTTGACAGTCTTTGCTATCTCGGTCTGTTTATAGATCTTCCTCAGTCTCTGTCATGATGTCATCAAACCAGATGGATAAGAGAGTACTTTTAGGAAATTAGGTTTAAACTAAGTGCTAACAATGCAAGTATGGAGTGGTTACCCTTGCAGTTTTCTTAGGAAAACTCCTGCAAAGAAACAGCACATCCCTTGCCAGCTTTTCTTATCTGTTGCTTTGGAGTTCTGCTGCGCACAGCCTCTGAGAGTCAGTGCAGGATTGGCAAGACTTTAGGATTGATTGCATCAGTTTTCCAGTCAGGCATTATCCAGGTTGTCTGTGGGTGATTTACAGTGACAACATATCTAGGTTATAGAAGTTCTGGAGCAACACAGGCTGACCAACTGACAGAGGGTAGCAGGCAAGGACAGGTAATATGTGCCCCGTGAGGCTTTTATAGGTAGGTCACCTGCAATTGCTGGCGTTCATTTTCTCCTGAAGCACTACTAAGGATAAGCAATAGATTAAACCATTAGACAGCCGTATGTTACATGCTAGGGCATTTAGGGATTCATCTTCATATGAAAAGGGATAAGATGACAAATTCTCTTTATCCATGACTATCAGTGCATACAGGGCATCAGCAAGACTCTCCAGGAAACAAGATACTGCTTTAATCATCTTTACTATGAATCCACTTTGGGACAGTCATGGGTCACACAGCCTCTCTTTGGTAGGTACATTCAAACAGTGGATAAAATGTGTGATCAAGGAATAAGATGTATGTGCAAACAATGTGCAGATTATCATCAACTGCTGTACTTAGTTTAATCTATGTGAAGATATTTGGAGTGCATTCAAGGCAAATGAGTATATTTCATGCTGTTTACAACCTTGTATTTTTTATCAGCAAATGTTTCTAAATGCAGATTTCCAAATAATCATACTGTAGTAGGACTAAGTACAGCAATATAGCACTCACTTTGAGTCACACACAGATTTAAGATGAGGAAGTTTGGACAAGGTTATTTGTTTATTAACTTATAAGAGCCAGCCTCACCAGGTGTTAAGTGATTTTTTTGTATCATGCTAAATAATCATATTAAAAAAAAATTCTAGGGTGTTCTTCTTAGTTCACAGTGTTCAGCACTTTCCATGTTTTCTATGGTGGGGACCTCAAAATGCAGATTGCTGCACTTTTTTCTGACCTCTGTTTGTTGTTCCTCGAAGTAACTTTAAGAAGGGTACAAATCTCTCAACATTTATTCCACATCCTTTTCAACAAATTCTTTATCATCTCTTGCAATTAGTTTACATCAAAGATACGTTATTGGTATAAGATCAAATTATTTCAAACAAACCAGTCTTAGGGGATCATGAGGCTAGGTGGATCAGATAACAGAATGTATGGAGGGTCAGCACAAGTCAACTCATACTGCCAAAAGTATAAAAAGTAAAAGTAATCGAAGTAATATAAAGATAAGAGAAATTGTTCTGCACTTGGTATATATTTTTATGCATGGATATGAAATGCATGAGCAGCTGTATTTGGTATTCATGTCAAGAAGTTTACTCAATCCTACAGAAATCACATTGTCAATGTAATCATATGAAAAAGATTATCTCTGAGAATTAAACTAATTGCTAATTTAATTTGTGATGATCTAAACAAAAATGTGAGAGATTTTTGGCATGCATGGGGAAAATATATTTTTATATATGCAAAAGCTATCATTGACTGCAAGAGAATTTATAACATCTAATATATCTTGTCACGACGGATGGCAGTTTTTACCGAAACACTTACTAATGAGACCATTGGTTTTAGAGTCCTTATCCAACAGTATAATTGCAGCTGACAAAAAGGATCTTAAAATTCTTTCAGCAAGGGTGTCAAAATAATTTTCTTTCAGTCTGCTTTCAGCAGACTCCACTCTCAGTAGCATAGGACAAAAAAACCTGTGCTGCAAAGAACTCACTAAGAATGTAAAAAGTCTTTGAAAAACTTAAGTTTATTCTTTTCAAGTTAATTAACTTGAAACATTCAAAGCATGAAGTTCACTTAACGAAGACATTTTTTATGTATTAACAAATGCAGCATAGGAAAAAATGATTCTCAGACCACTTTGAAACCTGCCTAGAGGCAGATGGCACAAATGAAAAAGGCTCAAACCAGAACATGAAATGGAATTCAGGTAAAAAACAAAGTCATAATTGCGTGTTGAAGTCAAAAGAATACTGACATTCACCACTGAAGACAAGTACTCTATACTAAGTTTGTCATATATATTGTGGGTGAGTGCTTGGACTGGTTGCCCAACACAGTAGTAAGAGTGATGTAAAAATGTCTATAGAAAGGTAGCTGCCAAGCAGCATTTCTGAATCTAGTAAAAATTTTAATTTTTCAAAATATATCAAGTTTGAGAAGTTTTTTGAATCCACAGCTACCCAGTGAAAATGACATTTGTTTTACAGAATGGCTACATTCATATAATCAGAGAATATGCTGAGTTGGAAGGGAGTGATAAGGATCTTCAACTCCTGATCCTGCACAGGACGCCCCAAGAATCCCATCATGTGCTTGAGTGTGTTGTCCAAACTCTTCTTGAACTCAGACAGGCTTGGTAGTGTGACCACTGTCCTGGGGAACCTGTTCCAGTGCCCAGCCACCCCCTGAGTGAAAAACCTTTTTGCTGATATCTAACCTAAACCTCCCCTGACTCAGCTTCATGTCATTTCCTTGAG